GGTTTACGGGTTTAGGGGTTTACGGTTTTAGGGGTTTAGGGGTTTAGGGTTTAGCGGTTTAGGGCTTTAGGGTTTAGGGTTTACTCATAGAAGTCATCGGGCTCTGCCAAGGAGATCTCAGCAGAGACCTCTATGTACTGGGATAGAGTTGCGGGCCCAAAAAAACTAATTCCCATTGGCCATATCGGCTTACATAGGGATTGCGGTCCATAGCAACTTTAAAAGAATCCCAGGAATGCCCCAGTGCACTTCTGAAGTCTCTGGATTTCTAACCCATAAACTACCCAAAGGGTCCCTTGTGTTGGGGGGTCTTTCTTAAAACAACTTCACAACGCCTTCTGCAGCAGGGGCTCCAGGAGCGGGTCCAATTGCTCCAGAACCTGGGCTTGCACTATTATTCTTATAACTACTGCTACTCTTACTATTGATACTCTTATTGCTATCTTTACTACTGTGTTGATTGCTGGTATTAATTCCATCCCTACTTTTGCATATTTCCAGATAGGTACTACCATTACAACAATTACGAAAACTGAAATTGAGACAGTGTGGGAGTGAGACCGGATGAGGTCGTTGTCGCCCAGACGATAGACATAAGGAGATTAATGCCAATCCCAAGTGCCAAGTCGGCAGCTGGACAAGACCCAGCAGCATTGCTGATGACAACAACGGTCACAAAGATCAAACACGTTCATGATTTGACCACCGTTTCATCACCCAGTTTTGCCATGTAAGAAGAAGTCTCTCCAGCCCTGCAGGATCCTTCACGTCTTGGTCTCGCGGCATTCTCCAGCAGGGTGGGCTTGCCATAGGTGATGGCTCCTGGCTGATCGCGGAAGCAAAAAGTTGCACCCAAGAGGTACACCTGTCTCGTCTTGGTTGAAGTCAAGAATCCTTGCCGCATCCCGTGCTTGGCGCCATGTCTACAAAACATTCATGATTTGTGGATTAGCCATGAGTCCACATAGGAGTTGCGCAAGGTGCTTCATGCGTTTTACTCAGGGGTCAGTCTAGACAGAGGCTAATGTAGCGATCTGGTTAGTTTGAGGGTTTTGGTGTGTATGCATCGATTCATTATGCGGCAGCTGTAGAATTATTCTGAGGGAACAATGTTGGTAATTCTTTCCAGTTCTCAACTGTTAATCATCCTTTCCATGTAATATTATGTGCTTTTGTATTTGATTTTTCACCAGACGCGAGGGCAAAAAGAAGCCATACTTTTGACAACCTCCCCTTTGAGACTATAAACCCTTACTCAAAATCCCGAGATTAGGTGCTTCTCAGGCCTTCAAGCTCACGTGCGTAGTTCTGCGTCAGACGGAGAATGCGTAGCTGCTCGCCTCTCCCTGCATGGATTGTCGAACGCACTCTAGGGTTTAGGGTAAGAAGGATAGGGCTCAGGCAGTAGAGTAAGAAAGGGGTCACGGGGCAGGTAGGTAAATGTTACATTGATTCTATGGGTTCTAGGTATACTTGCGAAGTCCTGCAATGCCAGACCTTGCCAACCCACTCTCGGAATGAGCAAGGATCTTGCTTCAACTTCACACTGCAAGGGCGGCCTGCAAAGGTCTTCCGCACCCACTGGTTGGCCTGACCAAGGAGTAAGCACAACAGGACATTGTGCAAGGCACTTGCACAAAGCTGGCTGCCTGCAACTGCGGGTCGATCATCAGCGGCCACCTTCTAGACCTGCAAAATCCAGCTTCTCGGGAGCCAGCCATCTCACTTTCGCATTGCCCAACCTCTGGATGATGATGGCATTCTCCACAGACACCTACCATGCGAATGGACAGCTACAATATCATGCACACCACAATGTGCTGAGAATCAGCAAGGGGCCAGCGACTTGAGTAAGCTCAGAAATCTGAATATGAACAGAGTCCAGCATACTGAGATGTGCAGCGGACCCCTAATCGACAAGCTTTAGGTCAATTCCATGCCCTCCATGCGAAAATTAATGGCTGGTCTCTGGACGAGCCTGATCGTTCGGAAGCTTGTCAATGACCCACTGGCGGATCTGCACCTACAACTCGCAGAATCAAGTCAGAACCCATCGCAGGCTGGTGACTTAATCTCCAGACACAATTGGAAAATCTAGAAATGAGGATATCTCGGGTCTGTGCAAGTTTTGGGTTGAAAAGCATGTCACCCTGGCCTCATCCCCAAGGACGGTGCGCAGAGAGAACTCCTGCGCTGATGGAAGCTGGTTCTCCTTCATGAGCTGGACCTGAAAATTATACTGAGATAATGGAAAAGGAAATGGAAACCCTAGGTCCATTTAAAGGAATATGTAGGGTTATAGGTAGGGTATATGTTGGGGTTATATTGGGATAATGGAAAAGAAAATGGAAACTACTATAGTATATTGGGGTTATATTGGGATAGTGGAAAAGAAAATGGAAGCTACTATAGTACGATTTGGGTTATAATACCAGGGATTGGGGTTACATTGGAGTTGTTTTGGGATTATATTGGGATAGTGGAAAATAAAATGGAAGCTACTATATTGTATAGGGTTATATTAGTTATATTGGGATAATGGAAAATGAATGGAAACTACTATTTAGGGTTGAGTTTCCGGCTGGTCCACAACCCACAGTGAAGTACACTTCACAGCTTGGATGGTCCAACTCGCTTGCAGCTTCTTTTTGGTTTTCGCGTGCATACTTCTTCTTCAGGTGGTCAGTGTGCAGTCAAGCTGTTCACCAAAGCAGCAGAACAGACATAAAATGACCCTTGCTGGAAGTGGATTCCCGGTTCCATCAGATTCGCTTCCCAAGCCTGACTTCGTAAAGGGAATTTGCCATCCGGCCATCCGGCTGCGTCTAAAGATACTGATATCTCCAGATTCTGGGTTCCCTACAAGAAACTCAGAAAGAAAACCCAGCTTCAGACACAGCCATGGCTCAATGTCCTGCTTTGAGGGGCTGGGCGAAAAACACGTCCCTTTCTAGACCATACCAACTTTTAGGTTTTCAACTCCTTGCAACCTTTTGGTCCCTCAAAGTGGGGTCACACCAATGGACAACGACTACATGTACAAGCCAATCAAAGGCTGCGCTGGGAGCTCTTTGGCCTACTGTGGGAGCTTCTCAAAATGCAGGGCAGCTCTTGAAAAATCTTTGGTGTCTGTGTATACACGCAGACATGGCTTCTTTTGGGTTGCTGTATGACACATATGTACTGATCATGGGATACAGGGCTTGCTTTGAGATACTCCCACATAGCTACTACATGTGCACGGCGTACATGACAGCAAACGGGATTCATAGCAACGCAAGAATATGGAATCACCTCCATATGGCTTCCAAAACCATGATCAGTATGATGAACTACACGTAACAGGAGTACGAATGGGAGCTTAGTAGTTCCACTCAATCAAGGTGAGGCTCCGTGAGCTTCATTTGCACCAATGTGATGACGTGTGGTCAGTAGCGCGGGCAGGTTCTGTCACATTGAACAGACTCAGCCGGCCCCCAGCAAGAAGCTTCAGATAACAAGGAATTAAAAGTCCTAAATGTAGGAGGCAGATCCTAAATCTGGGGGCAGGCATCAGAAGTGTGCTTTGAACGTGCATTGAGAGCTTATGGAATTCCGTACGTGGCCAGAGGGCCTCAGCGGGTCTCAGCGGTACTTTTGCATGGCTGCTAGGCACGCGGGCCTCAGATAATGACAGGGCACCGCACATGTCTGCAACATGCATCTTTGCTTTTGCCTGCATATGCCTGAAAGGATGCGCTGATCTGCAATCCGACTGTAAGGGTGTAAGGGCCCGGCGGCATTGTCGTCAGGCAGCACTTGGTGGGACAATCTAGCTGGGATGTGGTGAAGTCACACATGCTGCCGATGACAAAAGCGGGAGAGCTTGGCTTGATGGCCACTGAAATGCAGTGGTCTTTGTAGGCACGCTCAACTTCTTGCAGAAGTTCGATGCTCATTCCCAGGGCCGTGAAGTAACCATCTGTGTTGTCATGCTCTGACGACACAACCATCATCAACGGCGTGGGCGCCTCCTCGCCTGTTGCTGGCTCGATGTGCCCTGAGCCACGTCCTCGAATGCGAACCTTTGCACCTGTTTGCATTGCGATCCGCATAGTGTTCACTCCGCCTTTGCCAATCATCATGCGAACTGGAAAGAAAGCTTTGTCATTCTGCATCCTGATCTTGAAGCAGCACCAGCGACGGGCCGGTGCTCGCAGGAGACGTTGAATCTTTGACTTGCGCATGTTCGAGGTCTGCTTCCCTGGTGCACTTGCCTTGGCCTTCTGGTGTGGAGGTGGTTCGGACTGTTCCGGCTCCTCTTCAGGTGATGGTTCTTCCTCCTGGTACTCATAGACAGGTTGCGCTGAGGAGGCAGTGGTGGAGGAATCTGGAGAGGCGCAGGGATCTGACCCTGCGACCTGACCACTCCACCATCCAGGAGCGTGGGAGGCACATGGAGTGCCTGCGGCAGGCTGGAACTCCTGGAACTCCTGGAACTGCTGGAACTGCTGGAACTGTTGGAATTGCTGAGACGCGAGATTTCGCCTGAAGGCCATGGCCAAACCAGCTAAGCTGGCGCCAACTTGAGCAGCTGCAGCCACTGCGCTGTTCACTGGAGGAGGGGCATAATATGGTGGCATAGCCGGGGCAGCCGCACTCAACACGTTCTGGCTCCACGGCACTCCACACCATGATCTTGCATGCTGCCAATGATATGCCATTTCCGAAGCTTGAGCAGCCTGCACAAGTGGATGAGGTTGGGAGTGGGGAGACCAACACGGGGATTGCCACATCGCTGGAGTCGAGGACAGCACAGTCTCAGGTGCAGGTGACCAAATGGGGCTTTGCACCTGCACCGCCTGCACCTGCCTGAAAGCACCTTGCGGTGGCACTGGGGCTGGCTCTCCAGCATTGACCATGCCCGGCACCTGGGCTACCTGGGCCGGCGGCTGGGCCGGCGGCTGGGCCGGCGGCTGGGCCGGCGGCTGGGCCGGCAGCTGGGCCGGCGGCTTGGTGCATGTGGACATGGCTTCGGAAGCCTGCGAGCACTTGGCATCTTGCCCGTGGTGGGTGAGTGTGAGAGAGTATCCTTTTGGCAATGAGGCGGCAAGTTGAGCTACCGCGGTCGTTCCCGTTCCAGGCTTGAGCATAGTTTGGATGATGCTCTCCGAACTCTTCTTCTTCTTGCCAGTAACGGCTGTTTCATGCAAGGCGATGTCGTCAAGTGTCGCATGGGTAGTGGGCTCAGGGGAATTCTGGACATTGCGAAACTGCAGATCACGTAGGCATCCAAATGATCTGCTCCGTCGGTGTTCAAATTGAGGGCTCTCCGTGTCAGCGAATTCAACAAACGTATTCTTCACGCAGGTCAGCACTTCCATCACGATGACAAATAGGCTGTACGCGTGGATGGGGGAAGTGCGCTCTGTCTAGACCAGCGCTACACAAGGCACAACAGCCACATCTGAGATGATCGCGGCTGCGGCAGATCTCTCAGGGCTTCTTGCTTGCCGGGTTACAACGACTTTACTGTCACTCTTCTGCTTGCATGCACTAGCTTCAACACCGAACTTCCCACGCTACCCGTCCATCTTCCTGCCAGGACATATGTCCAATGCTCCTGGTGTTGGCAAGGCCTTCTTAGGCTCCCACCCAGCTCTTCACAGTGTCCACGCGATACCGGCCAGTAAACGTTCCAAGGTAGGCAATGATGCCGGAGCCGATGAGAACCTGCGACGAGCAGCACATGAGTGCATCCGTCCAAGTCCAACAGCTTGAGTCCACAGCTCTCAGCTAGGCACATCTCCAGTGAGATTTGTGTACTGCTCCCCCAACCGCTTGGAAGACTCTATCCAGCGTGTCTTCTCACCTCAGCAGACACGCAGAGCACCATATGTCGAAGCATAGCAGAGCCGGTGCTCAGGCCGAGCTTCTGACCTCCCAAACCGCTGATAAGCTTCTCTGCTCGCACCAGGCGCTTGCTACAATCCTCCACCTGCACGTCACAAGCCCTTGGATTTTGCTGATAACGCAACAGTGCAACAAGGAGGTGGAGAAAAATTGCTCATAACGCAACAGTACTAGAAGGAGAGGGAGATAGGAAAAAATGGAGGAGGAGGACCAGGAAAAGCAGGAGGCAGAGGAGGAACAGCAGCAGGGGAAGTAGCAGATGATCCAAACAGTAAGGATCGTAATAGCAGCGCTCGTGCAGCTCTTCCAATGAAGTACCGGGGACTGATCACAATGCTAGTGATAAGAAAATGGATAATTGCATACTGGTTACGCTGCCTGGCCTCCACAGCCAGCTCGTCTTTCCTTTTTCTGGCTGCTTCGAAATCGGCGAGGAGCTGCGAGACATTGTCCTCTTAATGTGTGTTCAAAAGCGTCTGGGTTTCAGGACGTACATTAGATTAGAGCATCGTGTTTCCACATCCAACAAGACCTCCAGCTGAGACCTGACCCAGTGGCCCCGCCAGACAACCATGCAGGCGCACAAACTGTGTTTCTCTGTGCAGAAGGGTCATGCAATTATCCGCCGGGCCTTGCCTTAGGCTGTGGGGGTTAGGGGCAAAGTCTCTACATCTCCCTGTCCATCTTTCTGCTGTAATACTGGTGGACATCCATGGCCTTCCACCTCCGATTCCCGTCACACCTCCCGATTTTGCCCCCAGCGCAGGTTACGTACGGGTTCCAGGAAATTTGAAGGATAAAAAGTGTGTTTTTGGGGGGCCTAAGAAGGTTCATTGTCTAGAATGTTTACAGAAAGAGGACGGGAAAAAGAGGAGTGGAGAAAGTGAGGGCACATGCGGGCCCTGTAAGTAAGCCGGTATAGCCTGCGTTAGTGCTACGAATTACTTCTTAAAATAGGGGGATCCCAATATGGACGCCAATATACTGTAGTGCTCATTTTTGGGACCCCACAAAGGTACCCCTAGTTTGGGGAAACCCCCATAGAGGCTTAGTGCAACCCTGTTCCTGGCTGCATCCTTTTGACGATCTGAACGAAGCTCATAAGATTCTGTGAAAGAGAACCCGACAATCTTCACCTCGCTCTGGCTAGGAACACTCGACCCAACCACAAGAGCTGCATGAAAATGATTGTCATGTGGGCGTGGATACAATCAACATCAATCAACACTGCGTCAAGGTGCATCAGGTATGGCAGGGGCCAAACGAGACCAAGACAATGTTTTCTTTGAAAGGAGATGTACATGGTCTGGCGGGAATGGGATGACAAATCTGCCACGCAAGCCTTGTGCAAGGTCCCTCTCTGCGAGAAATGCATAGCAAGGCAACGGGCGCTGCAAGCTTGATAGCACCATTGCTGGTGCGGTTCCAGGCGAATCAAGTACGGGAAACTGGTCCAGCAAGCAACACGTCTGAGGTCAGAACTCTTGGAATCATAGGGCATGCGCTGAACAGCATGATGCAGTCCTGCACAGCCTTCAACTCGGCCTTCTTCTCGTTGAGAACTCCCATCACCTTTCAATTCGACTTGCACTGCAAGGCATGAAAACATTGCTAGAGCAGTTCACCTACATTCTGGATGAGCCCTAGTAGTGAGCTAGAAGCTGGGTCTTTGCAGCGCGGGCTTCATGGCAGTCAATTGCAGTCATCAGGCTACATCAGTGGCTGCACCCACGTTTGGAACTTGCTCAGATATTTCCTCTGCGGTGCCATTCTTCAACGCAAGCACAGGGTCTTTCAAAGCAGGGATCAGTTTTGGGCGTGTCCCAACCAATTTTACTGGGACCCAGGTGGCACGAGGTCCAGTCAAAGCATGGGGCATGGGTGCTGTACGGCTGCTGTTGGATTCGGGGGAGGTCGCCGGCATCCCACCCACGCTCCAAGGGGTGGGTCGCAGCAAGTAGCAATGCGCACCTACGCACGGCACAAGCTCTGAGGTGCATCCAGCATGTTGAGCAGAATGGCTGCTTAGCCGGGCAATTGAATTTTGTTAGATTCGTTTCTTGGCTGATTGCAACCCTTGTGGGAGGTGGCTGAAGCATGCGCCAGGGTATTGAATCCGTATTGAATTTACACGTAGTTGCACAAGTGCACAGTGAGCAAGTAGGCCTTGGCCAACTCCGATTCTGCCTGCGCCAAGGCCTATCACAAGTTCAGGCATTGCTTTTGATTCTGGTCCTGGCACATGGATGTAACAAGATGTCAATGCACAGCGCTTCTGGCTTGAACATTTCTTCGCCGAAGGCTCTGCAAAGCCACAATCTGCGGTCTCATTGTAGCATTTGTATCCGACTGCTTGCTGCTAGCAGCAGGAGTCAGAAGCCACTGGGCACTGGCCTCCTTCTTGGGACCCACAACTTTTGCAACACCATCATAGACAATCATGGCGCGGACCTTGTCATGAACTGTCAATGTCTCAGCACCAGGGGCGGGAATGTCGTGGAAGCTCTGACAGCTGCCATCTTTGAATCTTGGAGGTTCAGAGAATCCCTCCAGGCTTCTGACCCACTTGCAAATGCCCTTTGCGGCCGTGGACGCTTTCTGTATGACCTCGTTGCGCACAACATGGACTATATCAGTGAAGAACGGACTCAACAGTGGACCTCTGGATCGAACTCTGGATCGTCTTCCAAAGGCTTCAACTTCTCGATCACCTCCACCTTCGCACATGTCAAAGATGCCGGCAATGCCAAAATCAGTTCAACTTATGAGGGAGGCTTTGCCTAGATATTTCTGCATCAGAAGCAGGATTCCTAGAAAAACGAGTAGGTGATGTCATACCGCAAGGTGAACTAGTCTTGACACTCGCAGCTTGGCGTGGATGTGGTGCACTCCCACAAGGTCCAGTTCAGTTCAACACGTATCTTAGGTCTGGACTGGAATGTGGTCCTTGTCATATCCTGAGTGCTGTTGCCATCAAAGGTGGCGGCTCAGGTGAGCAGCGGCTTGTACGTAGGGGCGGAAAGCGCTGGAAATCGGGCTACGAACACTGCAAAAGACGCGGCAAACGACAAACAGGTGCCAACCAGAGAACTGGAGCAAATGTGCATCAGCTTCATGTCACAGTCATGCTACAGATACTTGCAGTATGGCTGGTCTCAAGTCAGAAGCGATGTCATAGAACAGATGCCCCACCAGCAGCATGTGGGTCCAGTGCGCCCCAAAACCTCAGAGCCTAGTGCTCGGAAGTGAAATGCTGAGCAAAGTGCCTAGAAGCCGGTCCAACATCTTTGGATCCTTGGCACTAAGGCACGGTTTTTTGCGTCAAATCAAACAAGTTCTCGGCGCCACGCTTCCTAAGACACCAGACACGTGGCCAAAGCTCAAAGATGCTTTAAGAGGTCCCGATCATAGTAGTGATAACAGCAACATACCAAAAATCAATCTACAACTAGAATGGCTTATATGGTTTAGGGTTTAGGGTTATATTGGGATAATGGAAAAGAAAATGGAAATTACTATAATGAGATATATTGGGATAATGGAAAAGAAAATGGAAACTACTATAGTCAGCAGCAGCAACAACAACAATAGCAGCAGCAGCAATAGCACTGATACAATGACCACAAGAAGAAAAAACTGTAACCCCAAACCCTTAGCCCTAATAATGGCAATGATGCTCTCGGGCCCCAGCACCCCACAGGCTCTTCTTGGAGGGCTCCCAGTAATCATCGATCTGTGGTCAAAGCAGGATTGGAGGTTTGTGATTCATGACGTTATCCGTATCGTTGTTAATGTTATTTCGGGAAGACACTATCCTTTTTACAGCATCAGTATGGCCACTATGACTATTATTACTGCTGCAGTCATGAATTTCCATTGTTCAATTGCCTTTATTGTTATTGTATTATTAGGTGTTCAGCAAAGGCGTCTTCCGGAGTAGATATGTGATGATAAAGCTAGGGGGTCACGGACCCGCGGAAGTCTAGAGTTCAAAATGCTCACCTTGGTGCGGCCATCTTCTGCAGTGACCTTCTTCGGCTTGACATCGAACCTGCGTCCCCCCGGTAACACTCTGGCCCAAAACACGCGTGCACATAACTCCTGATCCTAAGTTTGTCTAAGGTCCAAAGACTGTCCCGCATATCCACCCTTGCGGATGATGACCCTGCGAGCCATCGTGCAGCCCAGGCACATCCAGCAAAGAGCCTTCGAGACCGTAATTACACCTTCTGGAGGGGACTTCATGTTCTTCACCTGCCAGGCTTGGAGAGTACTTTCGTGTGCCGGGAACCTTTTGCCTGATGCTTTTGATGCATGGTCTCCTTTGAAGCCTATGCACTTCCCAGCCCGTGCCTCCACGATGTCACCTGTAGATCACGGGCAGACGGTGTCCCACAAGTGTACTACAACTGTTTAGGCTATGGGTCGCACCTTTCTTCAAGCTTTTGAGCGCATCCAAGGCAGCGTTCAGTGCTGGCAGGGCCTGCCGCAAAGCATGAGCTCATGCAAATCAGTGATCTAGGCTCAAGCCACCCCTCAGGGTACCTTGTCCAGGTCTGCCTGGCACTCCTCCTTCATTGTCCGGGATGCCTCTGCCTCAGCGCGCTCGAGGGTCTTTGATATAGCACCAAGCGCAGTCCGGCATATCTGGCTAAAGAAACTCGCGGCTTGAAAGCGATTTGGCCCTGGGCCTGTTGGGATGCTGCCTCCTCCTCCTTTGCAACAATCGCCTGCGTTGCAGAGGCCTGGCCCAGTCCAGCAGGCACCGCGAAATAGCATGCTCAAGACTTGGCCTCTTCTTGCTTGTGCTCGATTACAGTCATTAGATCTGCAGTTTCGGCGGATGTCTGCTTCAGGACCTCAGCATTTCAAGCTCACAGGACGTCATATTATAACACGAACAGAGGCAGCGTGATGAACAACGTCCTCTGCTAGCAAGCCTAAAATGCGGTTGTTAAGCCTGCACACAGGGCACGCACTTTCGAAGAATGGGTCACATGCATAGCAAAGCTTCCACAGGTCTCTGCGTCATGAGAAGGCAGCTCAGAAAGTGTTCCAAGAAAAAGCGGAGGCCGCGAACTCCCCACTTGTTTTCACTGTTCCAGGCTGTGAAACAGGGGCAGCACAAGAAGGGAGGGCGGGCTGGGACCAGAGTCCTTGAAAAATGAAGATTAGCAGGCAAACCAGATCGACCTCAACCTTCCAAGGAGTTAGCTTTAGGCTCGTTTGGACACCCATCCCTCCCACTGGCTCAGCGTTGCAAAGCAGTTGCTATGAGCCTGGCGGGTCTCATCTCTTCCAACTGAATTGACATTGTCTTCACCTTAGTGTTGCGTCAAGCTCCCCAAACTCTACAGGCAGAAGACTCACCTACAGCTTCGAATCTTGTTCAAGGAGGCGCCTGCTCTTCGGTGGAGATTACCTTCTCAAGGCCATCATCATAGCGGCGCTTTGCGCCAGAAACATCGTCACGCTTGCTTGCCAGCACCTTGGGCCAGAGGTTTACTGCAATCACCATGCACATCTGTACACACCACAACTGCTGGCACCACAGAAATTACGAGAATCACTGTTGCTACCATGGCTCACACTATATTACAGGAGATGCCAGCAGCAGCCGCAGCTCTGGCTCAACCGCAGCTGAAACAATCCGCCGCTGCGACATTTCTGCACCACAGAATTGGAAAGAAGGCCCTCACTATCTAGGAATGAGGGGCTGCAGGGCTTAGAGCCATCCTGTGATCCGGGCATCCTTGAAGGAGTTGATGAGCTCCAGGTATGATGTCGGCGTCACCTGTATTTTTAATTAAGGCGTCACTCAGCCTCTCTGACGTGGCCCTGAGCTGCCGGCGTAGTAGTGGCGCTGCACCTGCAGTGAGCTCCATGAGATGTCTAGCGGTTACGTAGGTCATCAAATGTCTGCAGGTTTCAGAAGCGGCAACCGGACATCGCGGACTCTGATGCGTGGTCAGGCTTTCGCCTTTTTTGTCTGGAGAACACAGGCGGAGAAATGCGAATTCTTGCCATGCTTGTGAGGCCGCACGTTGGCATGCCTCAAATTCGGAAGATTGGAAGATTGAGCAGCAGCACCTTCAGTTTTGAAGGGCTCCGCTAGCAGTGGCTCCTCAACCACTCAGCCGACTGCATCTCCATGAGTCGGCTGGCCTGGGCAGTTACGGCTTAACTTCACTGGTCACTAGCATGCTTGCGTTGCTGGAACACATGGGTTAGAAGAGATAACCCTGCGGCCAAGAGGCAGTGCGGTCCCAAGCGAAGATCTCATCAGCTATTGAGGTCTTGCGCTCTTCCTCAGAGACATAGAATAACGGAATTGGATCAAGCTCTGCAGTGCACACCACCTTCGTATGACATTCGTAAAGTGAATCAATCAGCGTGATGAAGCGCCGAACTTGATCACGCTCCTGCATTGTAAGTTTGGGGATATCCGCCAGGAAGACAGTGTGGAAGGCGTGCCCGATGGCAAGGTAATCAGCTGCCCCTAAAGCTTTGTTGCAGAGGTCAGCAAACTCAAACCAGGCTACATTCGATCCCTCTGCGCAGCGGGGGGCGACGATTTTGCGACCTTGTGTCTGCATCTGAGCCCCGGTGCGGATCTTCCCCTGGCAAATCTTGGCGAACTTGTGCTCCAAGATCTTTCTCTCTTCAGGGCCATTGGGAGTAATGTACACTCGGTCATCCTCACCGCTGCGTGTGGCGGTCATTCGGTAGTCTACCTCTGCTCCAATATCATGCACCTTGCAGAACTCTTCTAGCATCGGAATGAACGGCAAAAACAATGGCCGGTTCAGACCATTCAAGTACAAGTCCTGCGGTGGGCGATTTGATGTAGCGACGACTACTGCACCAAGCTCGAACAGCACCGAAAAAATTCGCTTCACTATGATAGCATCGCTGATATGCGTGACCTGGAACTCATCGAAACATAGCAGCCACCCCTCTTTCATCATGT